AAAGGGGGGGGTTTTTTTTTTTTTTAAAACCCCCTTTTTTTTTTTTTTGGGATTCCCATTTTTTTAAAAAAAAAATTTTAATTTTTTTTTTTTTTGGGGTTTTTTTTAAAATTTTAATTTTTAAAAAACCAATTTATTTTTTTTTAAAAAACCCCCCCCTTTTTTTTTTAAATTTTAAAAAAAAAACCTGATTTGGGGGGGCCCTTTAAATTGGGGGGGGGGGGTTTTTTAAAAAAAATTTTTTTTTTGGGGGGTTTTTGGGGGGGAAAAAGGGGGGAAAACCAAGGGAAAATTTAAAAAAACCCCAAAACCAAAAAAAAATCCTTTCCCAAAATTTTTTTTTTTAAAATTTTTTGGGGCCCCCAAATTTTTTTTGGGGGGGGGGGGAAAAAAAAAACCCCCCAAAAAAGGGGGGGGAAAAAATTTTTCCCCCCCTTCCCCCCCTTTTTTCCTTTTCCCCCCCTTTTGGGGGGGGAATTTCCAAAATTTTAAAAAAAAAATTTAAAAAATAAAACCCCCAAAAAAAGGGTTTCCCCTTTTTTTTCCCCCCGGAAATAAAAACTTCCCCCCCCCTTTTTCCCCCCCCCCCATTCCCCCCCCCTTTTTTTTCCAATTTTCCCCCCCCCCTTTTGGGAAATTTTTTTTTTTTTAAAAACCCCCCTTTTTTTTTTTTTTAAATTTTTTCCCCCTTTTCCCCCCCCCTTTTTTGGGGGTTTTTCCCCCAAAAAATTTTTCGGGGGTTTTTGGAAATTTTTTTCCCCCTTTTTCCCCCCCTTTTTTTTTTTTTTTTTTAAAACCCCCCAAATTTCCCCCCCAAAAAAAAAGGGGAAAAAATTTCCCAAAAAAAATTTTTAAAAACCCCCTTTTTTTTTTTTTAAAAAAAATTTTTTGGGTTTTTTTTTCCCCAAAAAAAAAAATTTTTTTTAAAATTTTTTTTTTAAAATTTTTGGGAAAATTTTTTTTTCAAATTTGAAAAATTTTTTTTAAAAAACCCCCTTTTTTTTCCTTTTTAATTTTTTTCCCCCCCCTTTTAATAATTGGGGTTTTTTTTTATTTGGGGTTTTTTTAAATTTTTTTTTTTTTAAATTTTTTTTTAAAAATTTTAAAAAAAACCCCCCCCCCCCCCGGGAAAATTTTAAAAAACCCCTTTTTCCCCCCCCTTTTGGGTTTTTGGGGGTTTTTTACCCAAAAAAAAACTTTTTTTTTTAAAATTTTTTTTTTTGGAACCCAAAGGGAAAAAAAATTTTCCCCCCCAAAAAATTTAAAACCCCCCAAAAAACTTTCCCCCCCTTTAAAAAAAAAAATTTTTGGCCCCCTTTTTTTAAAAAAAATTTTTTTCCCCTTAAAAACCTGGGTTTTTTAAAAAAATAAAAATTTTCCCAAAAAAATTCTTTCTTTTTTGACCAAACCCCCCCAAGGGGGGTTTTTAAAAAAAATTTTTTTAAAAGGGGTTTTTTTTTTTCCTTTTAAAATTTTTTCCCCCCTAAAAAATTTTTTAAAAATTTTTCCCCTTTTTAACCCCGGGGGTTTGGGTTTTTTTTTTTTTCCGGGTGTCACCGGCCCCCCTTAAAATTTTTTTTTTTTAAAAAAATTTTTTTTTTGTATTTTTGGGTTTTAAAAAAAAAAATTCCCTTTTTTTTTTAAAAACCTTTCAATTCAGTTTTGGGGGGTTTTTTGGGGTTTTTTTCCCTTTTTTTTAAAAACCCCAAAAACCCCGGGGGGAAACCCCCCCCGGGAAATTTTTTTTTCCCTTTTTTTTTTTTTTTTTAAAAAAGAAAAAATTTTTTTAAAAACCCCCCCCCCCTTTTTCCCCCTTTTGGGGAAAAAAAATTTTTTGGGGGTTTTGTTTTTTCCTTTTTTTAATTAAAACCCTTTTGGGAAAATTTTTTTGGCCCCCCCAAACCCCCGTTTTTTCCCAAAAAAAATTTCCCCTTTTTTTAAATTTTAAATTTTTCCCCCCCCTTTTTTTTTTTTCCCAAAAAACCCCCCTTTTAAAAATTTTTTTCGTTTTTTTTTTTGAAATTTTTTTTTTTTTTAAAAAAATTTAAAAGTTTAAAAAGGTTTTGGGCCCCAAAACCCCCCCAATTTTTTTTTTCCCCCGGGTTTTAAAAATTTTTTTCCCAAAAAACCCCCCCTTTTTTATTTGTTTTTTTTTAAATTTTAAAAAAAATTAAAAAATTTTTTTTTTTTTGTTTTAATTTTAAAAAAAATTTTTTTTTTTAAAAATTTTTCCCCTTAAAATTTTTTAAAAAAAATTTTTAAATTTAAAAGTTTCCCCCAAAAAAAAAAAAATTTTTTTTGGGTTTTTTTTTTTTAAAAAAAAATTTTTTTTTTGGGGCTTTTAAATTTTTTTTGGGGGAAAGGAAAATTTTTTTTTTTTTGGGGCCCCTTTTAAAAAAAAAGGGGGGGTTTTTAAAAAAATTTTTTAAAAAACTTTTTTTTTTAAAAAATTTTGCCCCTTTTGGGGGGTCTTTTTACCCCCCCTTTTTTTTTTTTTCCAAAAAAATTTAAAAAAAATTTTGGGGGGTTTAAAAAACCCCCTTTTTTTTCCCCCCGGGTTTTGGGGGTTGTTTTAAAAGGGGCCCCCCCCCCTTTTTTAATTTTGGGGCCCTTTCCTTTTTGGAACCCAAAATTTTGGGGGCCTTTTAAAAAAAAAAATTTTTTTTTGGGGAAAACCCCGGGGGCCCCAAATTTCTTTTAAAAAAATTTTTTTTTTAAAAAACTTTTTTTAAAAATGGGCCCCCCCAAAAAAATTTTTTAAACCCGGGCCCGGGGGAAAAAAAAAAATTTTTTTCCCCAAAAACCCCCAAAAAAATTTTTTTTTAAATTTTTTCCCAAAGAACCCCTTTTTGGGGAAAAAAAAATTTTTAATTTTTAAAAATTTTTAAAATTTTAAAAATTTTTAAATTTTTTAAAAAAGGGGAAAAGGGCCCCCTTTTGTTTTGGCCCCCCCAAAAAAAAAAAATTTAAAAAAAAAAAAAAAATTAAAAAAGGGGAAAAAAATTTTTTTTTTTTTTTTTTAAAAAAATTTTTTTCCTTTTAAAAAAAAACGGGGGTTTTTAAAAACAAAATTTTTTTTTGGGGTTTTTTTTTTTTAAACCTTTTTTTTTTTAAAAAAAAAAAAAAAAAAAAAAAAACCCCCCCCCCCCCCCAAAAAATTTTTTTAAAAAGGGCCTGTTTAAAAAAAAAGGGGGTTTTTTTTCCCCCCCCCCCTTTAAATTTTCCTTTTTTTTTTTCTTTTTGGGGGAAAAATTTTTTTGGGGGGGGAAAAAAAAAAAAACCCAAAAATTTTGGGGGAAAAAAACCCCCAAAAAAAGGGGGGGGGTTTTTTTTTTTCCCTAAAAAAAAAATTTTAAAAAAACCCCCAAAAACCCCCAAAGGGGGGTTTTCCTTTTGGGGGGAAAAAATTTTTTTTTAAAGGGGGGGTTTTTTTTTTTAAAAGGGAAAAAAAAAAAATTTTTAAAAAAGTTTGGGGGTTTTTTAAAATTTTTAAAAGGGGGGGAAAAACCCCCGAAAAAAAATTTTTTTTGGGGGGAAAAAAAAAACCCCGGGGAAAAATTTTTAAAAATTTTTTTAAAAAAAATTTTTAATTTTTTTTTAAAAAAAAAAAAACCCTTTAAAAAAAAAAAAAGGGGGGTTTTTAAAATTTTCCCAAAAGGGTTAAACCCAAAAAAGGGCCAAAAAGGGGGGGGGCCTTTTAAACCCTTTAAAAAAGACAATACCGTGACTGAACAATACACAAATAACCCGCACATAGAAGACTGAAAATTGTGACGATGTTTCAGACCGTCTTAATTAAACCATTAATTAGTCACCATCATCATACCGGACAAAAACGAGAAGCTGATGAAGATTTTACATGTCAGTTATTTCATCTAACTGAATGACAAAATATTTTGATGAGCAATTAAACATGACTGACACTTTGTACCTGCCTTTGAAGTCTGTTGAATGGATCCACTGCCATCCAGAGTCAGTCTCTCTCTTAATCATCGGATTTTTGCTTAAAAAATGCATGATCATTTTGAGGTAACCTTGAGTGAGGTTCTTTCAAGATGTTGCTCGAGCTGCAGTGGTTTCGTGGAATCATTTGCTAAGACTTTGTGCCAGCTGTTCTGTGGCATCCGCAACGCAGGGCTGTCGGGAAATAGAACAATCTGGAGAGTGATGTACTGGAGGCAAGATTCATACATAGTTTTAAGAAGAGGGGCCAGGAGCTATGACTACCCCTGCAACCATAACTAGGCGAGTACAACTAGGTAAGTACACACACACACACACATACATGCGCGCGCGATTAATTCAGCTAGTGAAGGCGATTAAAAGTATGAATGTGGGTGATTAATATTTTTTTGGTTTAGAAAGACACGTAAGCAAACACTATAACATATTTATTAGAAAACGTTTCGGTCCTGGGACCTTGATCACTTCTAACCAGGTTAGAAGTGATCAAGGTCCCAGAACCGAAACGTTTTCTAATAAATATGTTATAGTGTTTGCTTACGTGTCTTTCTAAACCAACTTGTCGGTATTTATTACCAAGGTTTATACCAATATTTTTTTACACACCTGAATTAACATTGTAAGTGCTGCTATCCTAACTCAGCTGATTTCAAAGCAAAATCCTTTCCAAGGTACACTAACACCCTCTGGGATGTTACCCATAACAGTCAACTAACACACTGGCACTTACCTACTGCTAGGTAAAAAGAGGCAGAAGATGTAAGGTAACTAACACCCAGGTACCTATTTACTGTTATGTGAATAGGGACAGCAGGTGTAAGGAAACATGCCCAGCGTTTCCACTCGTGTCGGGGGTCGAAACACGGACTTTCAGTATGTGAGATGAGGGAATTACCGACTGAGCCACAGGATATTTTGTTTGTGAGGAAGGGCTGAATTTGTCGGGGTCATACAGAGCCTGGGAAATGGGAATTAATTAGGTTTGATCCATGGAAGAGAATGGTAGCGTCAGTTCCTTGGATTAGGAGCCTTTCACCATGGTATCCCTCATGAAGGGTGAATGTAAGAACGTAAGGGGTGAAAATTTATGTGTAGGTGTGAACGAGATACAACGTTTGACTAATTTCAAAAGCCAGAATTAAGGAAATTCTTTTTTCTTTTTACCTTTCGCCCTATCTTTCTCTCTCCCTCAGTCTCTCTTTCTTTCTTACGTTTCTCCACAGGTCGTCCACACAGACTATCACAGCGTCTCCTGCGTGTACTCCTGCCTCGAATACTTCGGCTTCCGCGCTGAGTTCGCCTGGGTGTTGAGTCGAACTCCAAGACTACCGGGGAATCGGGAGAACGAGTGCCACTCACGTTTCAGAGCCATGGATGTCGATCCAACCAAGATGACCCTCATCAAGCAGGGAGAGGTGTGTATACCATTGATATACCTTTGAAGAGTTCCGAGAGATTTTCTACTCCCGGAGCTTGGCCATGGTCCAGGCTCGTCAGGTATTTCGCTGGTCAACCAGGCTGTTGCTGTTGGTGGCCCGCAGCCCCACATCCATCACAGCCTGGTTGATTTGGCACTTTGATCATTGTTAGTTTTAATTGTAGCTATAAATTCATTTCCTGCAACGTGTTTTTTTTTCATCCAAAGAGGAGTCATCAGCTACATTTATTAGGTTCCTTCTTAATGCGGATCCACTGAGGCCTGGTCATGGATTGGGCCGCGGGGGCGTTGACCCCCGGAACACCCTCCAGATATATTCTACGTATTACTAAACTATAAACATTCATTTACCAGAGTTGTCCCTACTACAAGAAACTGGACCAGTTGATGGAGTTCAACAGATTGTTGCTTAAGAAGAACCTGGGTTTTGAAAGCACGGCGGAGAGCACTACCCTCCAGGAACCTACCACAGCAACTGTTCCCACCACCACTACCACCACCACTACCACCACCACTACCACCACCACTACCCCTGCTACGATTCATCCCTCTATCAACACCCTCCCAGAAACTACAATTCCGTCAACCACCACGACAGATCCACCAGACCCCACTGAAGGTCTGCCTTCTACCACCACTGCCGCCGCCGCCACCACTCGAGCAGTTACAGATCCTGGCACTTTTGGACTACCAGATACAAAGCAAGTGGGAGCCACCACCCATGATATGCTGACTGAGGTAAACCTGTGTAAAACTTGAGAGTATTGTAGTGAAGTCCATTGTTAACAATGTCGATGTGATTTTCTGATTTTCATTAATCATTATGAAACGTGTGTGTGTGTGTGTGTGTATGTATGTATGTAGTCACCTATTTGTGGTTGCAGGGGTCGATCATAGCTCCTCTCCCTACTCAATGAGCTTTATCAAACTTTGTCTTAAAACTATGTATGGTTCCTGCCTTCACTACGTCACTTTCTAGGCTATTCCACTTCCTGACAACTCTGACTGAATAAATACTTCCTAAAATAAATAAATACATCTTAACATCTCTTTGACTCATCGGAGTCTTCAACTTCCAATTGTGACCCCTTGTGTGTGCGCGCGCTTGTGCTGTTTGTTTTCTCTAGTGACAAGTGTGTCAAGGAGTGAAATATTCTTGTTTACGTCTCATTCTACTTTAAACTTTAAGTTGCAGAATTCATTGTGAAGTGAAATATATATCTCGATTTTCATATTTTTGTCTTAAATATGGCTTGGATTTATTTAAAAAATGACAGCATATCTCAAGAAAATTATTTCTTATTCTTTAAGAAAGCACTAAAATGAGATTTTCTCTTGATTACAAATCAGTAAACAAGATTCTTGACACTTAAAAAAGGAAGGAACTTCAGTCATGTTATGTACAAGACTTGCAACGCTTACCATCTTAGGTTTTAGGTTAGATAAGGTTTGTCAGGAAACTAGACAAGTGTTTCCTGACGCGGGTCTGAGTCATATGACCCACAGCTGGAGCTTTTGATCATCTGACCGAGGCCTTCCACTGGCTTACCCCTCCAACCTTTTAAAAGTTATGGTTTTGTTTATAACCACTAGACTGATAAATTAGACACGTATACAACACTTGGGTAATGGGTCCATGGGCTGGATACCCAAGTGTTGCACATGTGTCTAATTTATCAACTTGTCGGTTCTCTGAACCATTCATCTTCATAACAATTAGATTACAGGATAACCATCTTAGGGACAAGGAAATATTGACAGTAAAGAACGAAAAGGCATAATACCGTGACTGTAACAATACACGTATAACTTGCACATAGGAGAGAGAAACTTATAATAATAAAAATAATAATTAATAATAATAATCTTTATATTTCAACTAGTACATGTACAACGTATACAGACCCAGCTGATATCTGTGACATACTATATAGAAATTCCCTTGTTATGCAGAGCATTTCTGGCAAATTAGGTTAATTTTGTCCCTAGGATGCGACCCACACCAGTCGGGTAACACCCAGGTACCTACTTATTGCTAGGTGAATAGGGACAGCAGGGACAGACCCCTAAGGAAACACTCCCTAATGTCTCCACTCGCATCCTAGTTACTTGTAAATGGTCCAAGTTGGGCCGAAACGTCTTCATAAGCTCCTCTCTCCTATGTGCAGGTTATTTGTGAAATGTTGACAGTTTAAGCATCAGAAACATATCTCTGCAGGTGGGGCACGATGCAGATGCTGAGCCCATGAAGAAAGAACACGCTGGGTTCCTAAGCAACCAGACAGTCTTTAATATTGACAGAGGAAGTGCAGTGAACCACACTGACGAAGGTCGTCCATCGCACCTTAGTTACAACGGTAGGTAGCAGGAAAATCCTTGCGAGTAAAATTAGGCATTTGCTGTTAAATTGTGATGAAAATTGGTTACTAAACTGACACGTTGATGAATGAGACACTTGTGCAACATCCGGGAATCTTTATTGAGGAAACGCTTCGCCAGCCAGTGACTTCTTCACATTTTGTATAGAATAGAGGGTGTATGTGTGGGTGTATGTCTGATTAGCTGATCCAGTCAAGCCAATATGGAATTCAGCCCAAGAAATCTGCCATCCCATTTCTAGTTAATTGAATTCTTAACTATAGTTCTACACCAGGACAGTGTTGTAACTGACTCACGAAATCGTAATGACACGATTGCAAATAAACCATACCACGGGCTGAAATAGAACCCGCGATCAGAGTCATAAAACTCCAGACCCACAAGTTAGCCAGTGGGCAAGCTGGCTACAATAAGATTCATTCAATTAGGTATATCATCATATGCTCATAGTTGGATGAATCTTATTGTAGCCAGCTGGCTCAGTGGCTAACGCGTCGTTCTGGAGTTTTATGACTGATCGCGGGTTCCATTCCCGCCCGTGGTATTTTTTTTTCAGTGTTGTAAGCCAGTTGCAGGTGTAGTTGTATCTCTGATGATCTGAAGGCTGGTAGAAGACCGTTCACATTGGCCAGTCCCAAAACGTACAAAAAAATGAGCATTTGATAATATTGTTAATAGGCACTTACCGTTGTGCAGTGTGGGGGTCTGTGTTGCTCCAGTAAGAATCCCTGAGATACATTGTATGAGTCACAGATCTGTATCTGGCTCTGCCCACATGGGAAGCCATCGATTTGTAACCTGGTCAGCCGTGAAGGGGTGATGTTGTGGCGTGTTATGGAATAAACCACGATTTTGTGAGATTTCGTGAGTCCTGTTATCGAATGTTAGAAAACTTCACGGCTCTAGCCTAGAGTGGGGTAAGTAGCTCCCCAACTAGGTAGTTAATAGATCGGCTTAATTAGGCAGAGTCCGTACACTCGCTTCTTCACTCGCGAACATGGTTTTTATGACTGAAGTCTGGGTGCCCAGCGTAGGCAGCTGTGCCTGGTCACCCAGCACAGTGGACACCTCCTGTCAATTTGTGTAGGTTGAAAGGTAATTTTTTTTTAACAAGTTGGCCGTCTCCCACCGAAGCAGGGTGACCCAAAAAGAAAGAAAATCCCCAAAATGGCAATAATTTCATCATCATTCAACACTTTCACCTCACTCACACATAATCACTGATTTTGCAGAGGTGCCCAGAACACAATAGTTTAGAAGCATATACGTATAAAGATGATAAATTAGACACATGTGCAACTCTTGGGCATCTCAATAAAGATGCCCAAGAGTTGCACATGTGTCTAATTTATCAACATGTCGGTTCTCTGAACCATTCATCTACAAACGTATAAAGATACACAACATATCCCTCCAAACTGCCAATATCCCGAACCCCTCCTTTAGAGTGCAGGCATTGTACTTCCCATTTCCAGGACTCAAGTCCGGCTATATAAAAATAAACACTAAAATGGTATAAAATACCGACAGGTTGTTTAGGTAAGACATATATGCAACAGTTAGGTATCTTTATTTCGAAACGTTTCGCCTACACAGTAGGCTTCTTCAGTCGAGTACAGCAAAGTTGATAGAAGCAGAAGATACTTGAAGACGATGTAATCAGTCCATCACCCTTAACGTTTTGAGGTGGTCAGTCCCTCAGTCTGGAGAAGAGTATTGTTCCATTGTCTGGAATAATATGGAGTTGAAGTGATAGGATGGAGCCTTATATAGCGCCAGGAGGTGATGGACTGATTACATCGTCTTCAAGTATCTTCTGCTTCTATCAACTTTTCTGTACTCGACTGAAGAAGCCTACTGTGTAGGCGAAACGTTTCGAAATAAAGATACCTAACTGTTGCATATATGTCTTACCTAAACAACCTGTCGGTATTTTATACCATTTTATTGTTCACTCTGTCAGACACTGCAACACAAGGGTATCTTGGTACAGACTTGGAACCACTTCAACAACCTCTACTAGTGAGAATGGCTGGATTTGAGAGTGACCTGACCTCTTAATGTCTACATTCTTACTCTACTAGTGACCTACGTCTCACCTCCTGGCGCTATATAAGGCTCCATCCTATCACTTCAACTCCATATTATTCCAGACTATGGAACAATACTCTTCTCCAGACTGAGGGACTGACCACCTCAAAACTTTAAGGGTGATGGACTGATTACATCGTCTTCAAGTCTCTTCTGCTTCTATCAACTTTGCTGTACTCGACTGAAGAAGCCTACTGTGTAGGCGAAACGTTTCGAAATAAAGATACCTAACTGTTGCATATATATAAAAATAACCGGTTTCCCTGAATCCCTTCACTAAATATTACCCTGCTCACACTCCAACAGCTTGTCAGGTCCCAAATACCATTCGTCTACATTCACTCCTATCTAACACGCTCACGCACGCTTGCTGGAAGTCCAAGCACTTCGCCCACAAAACCTCCTTTACCCCCTCCCTCCAACCTTTTCGAGGACGACCCCTACCCCGCCTTCCTTCCCCTACAGATTTATACGCTCTCCATGTCATTCTACTTTGATCCATTCTCTCTAAATGACCAAACCACCTCAACAACCCCTCTTCAGCCCTTGACTAATACTTTTATTAGCTCCACACCTCCTAATTTCCACAATTCGAATTTTCTGCATAATATTCACACCACACATTGCCCTTAGACAGGACATCTCCACTGCCTCCAACCGCCTCCTCGCTGCAACATTTACAACCCAAGCTTCACACCCATATAAGAGTTGGTATTACTATGCTTTCATAGATAACGTTTTTTGACTCCACATATACCTCAATGCACCACTCACCTTTTTTCCTTCATCAATTCTATGATTAACCTCATCCTTCATAAATCCATCTGCTGACACGTCAACTCCCAAGTATCTGAAAACATTCACTTCTTCCACACTCCTCCCCAATTTGATATCCAATTTTTCTTTATCTAAATCATTTGATACCCTCATCACGTTACTCTTTTCTTTGTTCACTTTCAACTTTCTACCTTTACACACACTCCCAGACTCGTCTACTAATCTTTGCAATTTTTCTTTAGAATCTCCCATAAGCACAGTATCATGAGCAAAAAGTAACTGTGTCAATTCCCATTTTGTATTTGATTCCCCATAATTTAATCCAACCCCTCTCCCGAACACCCTAGCATTTACTTCTTTTACAACCCCATCTATAAATATATTAAACAACCATGGTGACATTACACATCCCTGTCTAAGACCTACTTTTACTGGGAAGTAGTCTCCCTCTCTTCTACACACCCTAACCTGAGCCTCACTATCCTCATAAAATCTCTTTACAGCATTTAGTAACTTACCACTTATTCCATATACTTGCAACATCTGCCACATTGCTCCCCTATCCACTCTATCATATGCCTTTTCTAAATCCATAAATGCAATAAAAATTTCCCTACCTTTGTCTAAAAACTGTTCACATATATGCTTCAATTTAAACACTTGATCTACACATCCCCTACCCACTCTAAAACCTTGCTCATCCACAATCCTACATTCTGTCTTACATCTAATTCTTTCAATTATAACCCTACCGTACACTTTTCCTGGTGTACTCTGTAAACTTATTCCTCTATAATTTTTGCAATCTCTTTTGTCCCCCTTCCCTTTGTATAAGGGTACTATACATGTTCTCTGCCAATCTCTAGGTGCCTTCCCCTATTTCATACATTTATTGAACAAAAATACCAACCACTCCAACACTGTATCCCCCTGCCTTTAACATTTCCGCTTTACCCCCTTTCATTCTACTTAATGCCTCACGCACCTCCCCCACACTCACATTCTGCTCTTCTTTACTCCTAAAAGATGATATACCTCCCTGGCCAGTGCATGAAATTAATGCCTCTCTTTCTTCGTCGATATTTAAAAGTTCCTCAAAATATTCTCGCCATCTACCCAATACCTCCATCTCCCCATCTACTAACTCCACTACTCTGTTTTTAACTGACAAATCCGTTCGTTCCCTAGGCTTTCTTAACTTGTTTAACTCTTCAATTTTTTTTCTTATTTTCATTAAAATTCCTTGACAGTGCCTCTCCCACTCTATCATCTGCTCTCCTTTTGCACTCTCTCACCACTCTCTTCACCTTTCTTTTTACTCTCCATATACTCTACTCTTCTTATAACACTTCTGCTTTGTAAAAACCTCTCATAAGCTAACTTTTTCTCTTTTATCACACCTTTTACTTCATCATTCCACCAATCACTCCTCTTTCCTCCTGCCCCCACCCTCCTATAACCACAAACTTCTGCCCCACATTCTGTTACTGCATTTTTAAAACTATCCCAACCCTCTTCAACCCCCCCACTACTCATACCTGCACCAGTCCACCTTTCTGCCAATAGTTGCTTATATTTCATCCGAACTTCCTCCTCCCTTAGTTTATACACTTTCACCTCCCTCCTAATTATTGTTGCCATTTTCCTCTTATCCCATCTACCTCTTACTCTAATTGTAGTTACAACTAAATAATGATCCGATATATCAGTTGCCCCTCTATAAACATGTACATCCTGGAGCCTACCCAACTTTTTATCCACCAATACATAATCAAATAAACTACTTTCATTACGTGCTACATCATACCTTGTATATTTATTATCTTCTTTTTCCTAAAATATGTATTACTTATTACCAAACCTCTTTCTACACATAGCTCAATTAAAGGCTCCCCATTTTCATTTACCCCTGGCACCCCAAATTTACCTATTACTCCCTCCACAGCATTTTTACCCACTTTAGCATTGAAATCCCCAAATACAAGTACTCTCACACTTGGTTCAAAACTCCCCACACATTCACTCAACATTTCCCAAAATCTCTCTCTCTCCTATATACTTCTCTCTTCCCCAGGTGCTTAAACACTTACTATAACCCACTTTTCACATCCAACCTTTATTTTACTCCACATAATCCTTGAATTAATACATTTATAGTCCCTCTTTTCCTGCCATAGCTTATCCTTCAACATTATTGCTACTCCTTCTTTAGCTCTAACTCTATTAGAAACTCCTGAACTAATCCCATTTATTCCTCTCCACTGAAACTCTCCTACCCCCTTCAGCTTTGTTTCACTTAAAGCCAGGACATCCAGCTTCTTCTTATTCATAACATCCACAATCATCTCTTTCTTATCATCCGCACAACATCCACGCACATTCAGACATCCCACTTTGACAATTTTCTTATTATTATTCTTTTTAGTAACTATTACAGGAAAAGGGGTTACTAGCCCATTGTTCCCGGCATTTTAGTTGACTTTTACAACACGCATGGCTTACGGAGGAAAGATTCTTATTCCACTTCCCCATGGATATAAAAGGAAAAGTAATAAGAACAAGAACTAAGATAAAATCAAAGAAAACTCAGATGAGTGTGTATAAATAAATGTGTACATGTATGTGTAGTGTAACCTAAGTGTAAGTAGAAGTAGCAAGACGTACCTGTAATCTTGCATATTTATGAGACAGACAAAAGACACCAGCAATCCTACCATCATGTAAAACAATTACAGGTTTTCGTTTTACACTCACTTGTCAGGACGGTAGTACATAGCTGCCAACAGATTTTACTAAAAATTAAAAAAAGAAAAGTAATTTTAATAGATTTTTTTAAATTACAATGAAACCATATGAAATATTTACCAGGTATGAACAGGAGGTAGTATTTATATACTGTAAATATAACACCATAGAACAAGCTTTCTTGACCACTCTGTATAGTAACTAGATGCTAAAGGATGTATTATAGAATATAGGAAATAGCATTATGATGTCAGTGTGCTCGTTTCCTTGTTCTTTCCCCTTCCTCACACTATCATACTATCACTCTATCACTTTGAGAAAGCATGTGTCATCTATTTCTACTGTTTGAACCTAGTTACCTCATCTAGCTACTAACGAATGTTCTGTTCAGGAAAAGATAGGCCTAAGGCTCTATTTCCACGCCTGTGCTCTATTTAAATATTTGTATATACTATATATATATATATAAACATCTCACATTTCATATAGTGTAAATGATGGTGAAACTGCTTCTTTGTCGGGTCATCCTGCCTTGGTGGGAGACAGCCAGCGTGTTAAATATATTGTTTTTTCAACACGCTGGCCGTCTCCCACCGAGGCAGGGGGACCCCAAAAAATAAACACTTTCTCCATCAATTAAACATAATCACTGTCACACATAATACAGTCACATCTTATGGGTCATTTTCAGAGTCGATGACGTTTGAAGAAGTGTCGTGGAAGGAGAAGAGTTTATCTGTCACCATCACTCCTACTGTACTAACCTTACAACTGACTGTGTTGTTTACCTTGTTACTCTGAGATGCCTGTCACCCTCGTTCTCACCATGCTGCCGATGATTGTTATCCTCCGGTCATCACTGCTACAGCCCCAGAGATGGCTGTCACTACCATCCTCCAGGTGATGCTGGTTCTGGCCATCACTGTTACATTCCCGGAGATTAGGTGTCATCATCTCCCTGTTAATTTCCTAACAGAATATTAAAAATCTTAATACTTTTGCTGAAACAGTTCTCTGTTAATTCAGATTCAGCCCCCCTTAAATCAGGGATAATCACAGATAGCACTACAGACCACTACCCTACCTTCCTCCTGACAAACATTAGTAAACCACCACTTGAATACAACAAAGTCTCATTTAGACTCCATGACGAGGCCTCAGTAAGGAAGTTCACAGCTGACCTAGAGACTGTTGATTGGCCTACAGAATTCTCCAAGGCCAATGGTATTGATGACTGGACAGACATCTTTCTTAACAAATTACTTAGACTATACAACAAACATTATCCTATAAAAACAAAACAGATCACAAACAAACGGCTTGGTTGCCCATGGCTAACCAGCACCATTCTGAAATCCATTGACAAGAAACACCAATATGAAAAGCAATATAGACAGGGCTTAATACACAAAGATACTCTTAAACACTATTCATCAGCTCTCACCAAAGTAATAAAAAAAGCCAAACAACTATACTACTCCAGTAGATTCACAGACACTAGAGGAGATATAAAAAAGACCTGGAAAACACTCTCAGATTCTAGGGACCCACAAACTGAGAAAAAAACCAAGAATATTGTCCTAACTAAACCTAATGAAACACCACTACATCCCACTGACACAGCTAACAAGATAAACGACTTCTTCTCAAACATAGGATCTAATCTCGCCAGTAAAATCCCACATACCAATGCCATGCCGGGGACTACCTAGATGGAAATTTCCCTAATTCCTTCTATCTTGCACCAACTGAGCCACGGAAGTCATTGAGATCATAAAGTCACTTAAAAATAACTCGGGGAATCTGTCTCATGTCCCACCATTACTGTACAAGCGAGCGGCCCATGTCCTTTCGCATGCTATTTCATTACTTTTTAACAAGTCAATAGAGACTAGCACCTTCCCGAAACTACTCAAGATGGCAAGGGTTACACCAATACATAAAGGTGGTGACCCTACAGACTTAAACAACTATAGGCCAATATCTAACTTACCATTGCTATCCAAAATATTTGAGAAACTCGTGCACAGGAGACTGTATTCATTTATAACGGCTCAAAACATACTCAACCCCTGCCAGTTTGGATTCAGGAAAAATAAAAGCACTAATGATGCAATCATAAAAATGCTAGATCTGCTTTACACAGCATTGGAAAATAAGGAATATCCACTAGGAATTTTTATTGACCTAAGAAAAGCTTTTGACACAGTAAACCACGAAATCCTACTCCACAAACTTGACCACTACGGTATAAGAGGCCATGCGCTTGCTTATTTCAAATCTTACATTACTAATAGGTATCAGTACGTCACCATTAAAGACACAGCATCAGCAACACGGCCACTTGATACTGGAGTTCCGCAGGGAAGTGTCCTTGGTCCCCTGCTCTTCCTCATATACATCAATGACCTCCCAAACGTATCCCAACACCTGAAACCCATTCTCTTTGCTGATGACACGACTTATGTCATCTCTCACCCTAATCTTGCCACCCTCAACACCATTGTGAATGAGGAGCTGATTAAAATAATCGACTTGGATGACAGCCATATAAACTTACGCTTAACACTGACAAAACTTACTATATTATGTTTGGTAGCAGAGCAGGAGATGCACAAAATTAACATTAAGATTGACAACACTCCAGTTACCAGAAATAATGGGGGAAAATTCCTAGGCTTATACCTTGACAACAACCTGAATTTCAGCACCCATATCCAGCATATAGCCAAAAAAGTATCCAAAACGGTTGGGATCTTCTCCAAGATACGATACTACGTCCCGCAAAATGCCCTTCTCACACTATACCACTCACTTATTTATCCATACCTCACCTATGCTATTTGTGCTTGGGGATCAACTGCAGCAACACACCTAAAACCAATAATAACCCAACAAAAAGCTGCAGTAAGAATAATCACTAAATCCCATCCCGTGTCAGCACACCCCCCCACTCTTCAAAGATCTAAACTTACTCCCAGTTCAGTACATCCACACTTACTACTGTGCAATCTATATCTACAGGGCCTTAAACTCTAATATCAACCTTGACCTAAAACGCTTTCTTGATAGTTGTGACAGAACCCACAGGCATAACACCAGAAACAAACATCTCTACGACATTCCCCGTGTCCGACTAAACTTTACAAAAATTCAATGTATGTCAAAGGCCCTAAAATCTGGAATACCCTACCTGAGAACTCTAGAACTGCAGACACATTCATCACCTTCAAAAACTACCATTAGAAAACATCTTATCTCCCTGATACACCCCGTCAACTAACTACACAAATACCACCTGGTGGTTCACACTTACACTCGCTCACATCATTTGACCATAAACAGAAATATTAATCTCAGTCTTAAAATAATGAATCCTGTGATACTCCAATACTGAAACTATATACTGTGCCAAAACAAAAGCATTCACATTGCTAAACTCACAAACTAGTATTTAGTCACTTAGCCATAATACCAACTTACCTCATAATTTGTAATATTTTACAATTAAGAATAAAACTAAGTATGTCCGAAATGCCTAGCCATGCTAAGCGTTCTAGTGGTACACTCTGTAATCACAATTTTACTACATGTAAACCAAACAATAACCAAATTTCTGTAAACTCAGCATTGTAATCCTTATAGAGAATAAACTTTGAATTTGAATTGAATGTGTCCCGTGACTCGGCTGGCAACACACTCACCACACAAATCAGTCCACGGCATTGGTGGGAACGTTGGGCATGGTTTCCTTACACCTGCTGTCCCTAGGTACGTTGGTGTTTTGTCGGCTAAGTGGTGTCTCATCCTTGAGGGACAAGGCCCACAGTGGAAATAAAATAATCCTCGATGACGGACTGACTATTGGGTTATCCTAGGTGGGAAACGCTCCGGGCTAGAAATCCGAACCAATCATAGGCAAAACGTCAATTTTTTCCTCTCTAAACGCTAAGTAAATAGTGAATAACCCTTAAATATTATTCACTCTGTTCTGCTTTGTTTTATTCACTCACCCTACTCATCCTCATCTTTATTTTTGTTACTAGTTAGTTCCCAGTCTTCTTAATATCTCTGTAGAAGTGAATTGAAAGGCAACATTCAGGGCCTCCTCACAAAGAGAATTCTCTCTCTCTCTCTCTCTCTCTCTCTCTCTCTCTCTCTCTCTCTCTCTCTCTCTCTCTCTCTCTCTCTCTCTCTCTCTCTCTCTCTCTCTCTCTCTCTCTCCTCTCCTCTCCCCTCTCTCTTCTCTCTCTCTCTCTCTCTCTCTCTCACCACACACACACACACACATATATGATAAGGCTCTCGGAGCCGGGAGAGAGTGGACCTAGTAGCAACCAACGAAGAGTCAGAGCCAGGAGCTATGAATCGACCCCTGCAACCAAATATAGGTGAGTACACACACACACACACATTACAGAGAACGAGAAGCATTGTGACATTGGTCCTGTGCTACTCAGCTTATTTACTGGTATACTGAGTGCAGTTTTACAAAATCCCTCTTCCACAGTACATAAATCCATTTGATCTTACATTAACTGCTAATTCCAGGCAGGTGTTGCAAGATTCTCCTTAAACAATGAAATATTTTGTGTATCAACACAAATGAAATCCAATGTTTTTCGTATCCGATAACATTTTATTTCCACTGTAATCTGATTCACTTCACTAGAGCAGGTTGGGGACAAAATATTCTCGAACTTCTGGAAGTAATTTCGAGATTTTTTCATGAAATGCATTTATTCTATTTTCCGAGAGTGAGGCTCCCCAATCAACACTAGAGGTAGTACATTATTATACGTACAGTTATCATACATAGTAACATATGTGTATATTTCTTAGGATAACCCTCCCCAAAAAAGTCACTATGTGAATTACTTCCATTGGGGCCCTTGGTATTTACCTATATATATGTATATATATTAGCAGTTTGGAGGGATATGTTGTGTATCTTTATACGTATATGCTTCTAAACTGTTGTATTCTGAGCACCTCTGCAAAAACAGTGATTATGTGTGAGTGAGGTGAAAGTGTTGAATGATGAAAGTATTTTCTTTTTGGGGATTTTCTTTCTTTTTGGGTCACCCTGCCTCGGTGGGAGACGGCCGACTTGTTGAAAAAAAAATGTATATATATAATATAATATATATATATATATATATATATATATATATATATTATATATATATTATATATATATATATATATTATATATATATATATATTGGGGGTTTACCCTGATTACCTGGAGAGAGTTCCGGGGGTCAACGCCCCCGCGGCCCGGTCTGTGACCAGGCCTCCTGGTGGATCAGAGCCTGATCAACCAGGCTGTTACTGCTGGCTGCAACGCAAACCAACGTACGAGCCACAGCCCGGCTGGTCGGGAAACTGACTTTAGGTGTTTGTCCAGTGCCAGCTTGAAGACTGCCAGGGGTCTGTTGATAATCCCCCTTATGTATGCTGGGAGGCAGTTGAACAGTCTCGGGGCCCCTGACACTTATTGTATGGTCTCTTAACGTGCTAGTGACACCCCTGCTTTTCATTGGGGGATGTTGCATCGTCTGCCAAGTCTTTTGCTTTCGTTAGTGAGTGATTTTCGTGTGCAAGTTCGGTACTAGTCCCTCTAGGGTTTTCCAGGTGTACATAATCATGTATCTCTCCCGCCTGCATTCCAGGGAATACAGGTTCAGGAACCTCAAGCGCTCCCAGTAATTAGGTGTTTTATCTCCGTTATGCGCGCCGTGAAGGTTCTCTGTACATTTTCTAGGTCAGCAATTTCACCTGCCTTGAAAGGTGCTGTTAGTGTGCAGCAATATTCCAGCCTAGATAAAACAAGTGACCTGAAGAGTGTCATCATGGGCTTGGCTCCTAGTTTTGAAGGTTTTTCATTATTTCCCTCCTGTCATTTTTCTAGCAGATGGATTGATACAATGTTATGGTCCTTGAAGGTGAGATCCTCCGACATGATCACTCCCAGGTCTTTGACGTTGGTGTTTCGCTCTATTTTGCGGCCAGAATTTGTTTTGTACTCTGATGAAGATTTAATTTCCTCTGTTTACCATATCTGAGTAATTGAAATTTCTCATCGTTGAACTTCATATTGTTTCTGCAGCCACTGAAAGATTTGGTTGATGTCCTCCTGGAGCCTTGCAGTGTCTGCAATGGAAGACACTGTCATGCAGATTCGGGTGTCATCTGCAAAGGAAGACACGGTGCTGTGGCTGACATCCTTGTCTATGTCAGATATGAGGATGAGGAACAAGATGGGAGCGAGTACTGTGCCTTGTGGAACAGAGCTTTTCACCGTAGCTCCCTCGGACTTTACTCTTTTGACTACTACTCACTGTGTTCTGTTAGTGAGGAAATTATAGATCCATCAACCGACTTTTCCTGTTATTCCTTTAGCACGCATTTTGTGCGCTTTTTACGCCATGGTCACACTTGTCGAAGGCTTTTGCAAAGTCTGTATATATTACATCTGCATTCTTTTGTCTTCTAGTGCATCTAGAACCTTGTCGTAGTGACCCAAATAGTTGAGACAGACAGGAGCAAC